TGCAGTGCACCGTCTGCATGGACGGATCTTCAGTCAAGACCAAAGTAGCTGGAGTTGGCGGCTCCATGTTCCTCCTGGCTGGGCTTTTATCGTTGATTCCCGTCGCCTGGAAGACCCACGAAGTGGTGCAGACCTTCTACATGCCCAACATGCCAGCCAGTCTTAAATTTGAGATTGGCGATTGTCTGTATGTAGGTTTAGCTTCCTCTCTTTTGTCCATGCTTGGTGGCGGACTATTGAGTGCATCCTGTTGCGATGACATAGATGGAAACAGGGGATCCAGACGGCATTATCCCTATCCAGAGCGGAATGCCTTGCGTGGGCCGTCCCATTCAATGACCTACCAGCCAGCCGCTCTACATTCAACCACAAACCCCAACATTACCAATAAGACGCAGACTCTTAATAGTCACACAAGCTCCGGTACCCACTCCATTCAAGCCCAGGATTCAAGGAAAATGACTCGGCAAAACACTGCGGCTGGCTATGATGTCACTGGCTATGTTTGAAGATTTGTGTCGGCCAGTGCAGTTGAGTTTTACATAAAGTGATTAATACTTGGATTGCTGAAAGGCTCAGAGAATGTAGACGCTGGTAGAGCATGAGGAAGGGTGTGTGTGTGTGAAGGTCTATGAGGTGTGTTTGGCTTCTTTTTTGCATAATTGTCTTTTTTAGGAGTTTCAAAATGAAAACAAAATAGCAAAATGATTTAATGATTGTATGGATTGAAGGTGGTTTGTAAACACGCAAGTTAATATTTTAGTTGTCGTATAAGAAGAACCGTGTCAATTAGCCTTCTTAAAGGGATAGTTGGCCCAAAAGAGAAATTTAGCAGCTAATTTACCCTACCTTTAGGTGTAGTTTTTGTTGATTTTGAAAGAAATACTGTTCGTAAAAAAAGCATGGTTCTCGCTGATTCATAAATGGCAAGTCGAGTTGCACTTTTAGAGTAAAAATATACTTATAGGCAAAGCAAAATTAATACCTGAGGTACTAAATAAATAAGTAGCCTGTGCTACCTGTTAATATCTGATACAGTAATGTCTCGTGAAGTGAAATTATCAGTCTGTGCAGCAAACTGAACGTTATTTATACCCTAGTTTTGGCTAAAAATTTTATTTAACGTGCTGCTGAAGAAAAATGTCTCCCACTATATTGTCCTAAAGGTGAGTAAATTACCGGCAAGAGCGAACTATCCCTTTAAGAACATTTTTTATATTCAAATGCTTGTTTTTTATGACATTTAAATACATTGGTTTTATTTGTTTCTAATAGCAGTCTTCACTTTTCACTGTTTCTAAGCACCTATATGCACTCGGTTGAGCACTTAAGGAACATATTAACCTTGTAAATAAAATTTTGAGTTGTTTACTAGTCTCTGGCTTTGATCTTGTCAATTCAATTCAGCTTTATTTGTATAGCGCTTTTACAATGTAGATTGTGTCAAAGCAGCTTCACATAAATGGTCATAGTAACTGGATCAGGGTAGTTCAGTTTTTAGTGTTTAAGTCCAGTTCACTTTAGCTCAGTTCAGTGTGGTTTGAAGTCACATATATCTCATTTCTTTTTGTCCTTCTGAACTCACAGATGTAGACACAGTAAACATGCATGGAAGGTCAAGGAGACTGACAGCTAAATAAAACACTGTTCTGTTTCCTCACTTGGACACACAGTCATATAAATATGCAATGATGTGGATTATTATGCACACATCTGTGTAATTTGAGGTAAAAATAAGGAAAGGATGTGTTCTCGTTCGATGAAATGAAACTAAATAAAAACAAAATGAAGTACATGTAAGAAAAGATTAAATAAAGTGATTACAATAATAAATATAATAATGAAACCGTATCTGTAAATGTTTTTATATAGATTTTACGTTACATAGATCTTAAGTTACATATTTTACATTATTATTATTGTTTCATAATGTAAAGTGGGTCTTTATAAATAATAACAAAGCTGCCTTTTAAATTTTGGGAGCCTACATTATTGGTAGTCTGGCATGTTAGAGACAAATTATTATAATTCAGCATCAAGACTTGAAATTCAATGTATTAGAACTATTTCGTGTACATAAAAAATACATCCTGTAAGTAGTATCTATTTTCACTTCAGTAACTTTTGCTGTGTCTGATTCTTGAATTGTGTTAATTCTGTGTAATCTTGAATTTCTGATTTGTCAAAACTATGAAAAATAAGCTAAAATAGAATCATTGCCAAAAAGTTGTAATGCTAATATGGGTTATGCACTGAATGAAAAATGTAAAAAGCAATTTTGAATTTATATCTTGTAACTTCGACTCGGTTGCTAATTTCTTGCTAATTACTCAATTCTGAAATAAAAAGTCAGAACTGCAAGATTTAAAGTCAAAACTCTAACTTATTTCCTAATCGTTACAAGTTTATATTTGACCATTTGAGTCTGGACTTTTAAAAAACTTGGGATATTATTTCATAATTACATTGTCAGAATTGTGTGATTAACAATTCCTCATTTTACCAAACACATTTGTTATTTTTAATTTCATAAAAGACATTTTTTCTTCTATAAATGAAACACGTCCTTAACACTAATCTGTAATGCGTTTAGTTGACCTCATTTTAACAAATGATTTACAGTGAAACACTCTAACTGAAACACCACTGCATTGATTTGACTTGATTTTAATGTGTAACTGCGTGGGAAAGATAGCTTAGCAAACACTGCAGTGAAATTTAATTGTTTGTTTTGGCGAGTCTGGCATTTCTGTAAGGTTCACTCACCGTGCAGCACAACAAATGAAATATTTTGGAAAAGTAGTGACGTCTGCTGGTCAGCTGAAGTACTATAAGTATATTTTTAGCCATTTGTTTTGAACAGTTACACAATTTCAAAAAATGAAAGCAAATTTTAAAGGAATATTTTGGCCAGAAATAAATTTGTCCAATAATTTTACCTATCCTCAAGCCATCCTTGGTATATTTGACTTTTTAATCTGTCAGATGAACACAGTCGGAATAGTTTTACAGTTGATCCTAGCTCTTTCATGCTGTATAATGCTGTTGGGTAGAGGCTTTTATTTTAAAGCTTCCAAAAGTGCAAAAATGTCGTAAAAATAACCCATAACTAGGGCCAGACATAATCTGTAGATATTTTTTGCTATTTCTGCTAAGAAAAAAATTAAAAAATTAAATCTGCATGTTTATGTGGAATGATTTTGGAAGTATCAACTAAAAAGTAATATATATATATATATATATATATATATATATATATACACACACACACACACACACACACACACACACACACACACACACACATACATATATATATATTAGAAAATTATTCCTTTAAAAATTTTATGCAACGTTTAAACAGCAAATCCAATTAGGTCCTCTCATTTGGTAAACAAAGGGATGTCTTTTGTATAATATATCTACTAAAAGGCAGAAAATATTACTTTACAAACTGTAATTTAAATAAATCATATGACCTTTCATATCAGTCAATAATATTACTGAAATTAACTTAAAAACCTTATAAATATTAATGTACACACATTTACAAAAGTAAATAAATAGACTCAATACTGGGCTAAAAATCTGTGAATTTCTGTACGCACAGATTCCGTGTGGGCCCATCCACAGCTTACACAGGATCTGTACACGCAGAAATCTGCAGATTTTTGAGCCCATTATTCTAACATTAGAATGTAAATGTAGAGTAAATCTATTTTTTTTTCGGTTTTTATATTTATAATTAATGTTTGGATAAATTATGTAGAATGCAATTTGTGAAGTAATATTTTCTGACTTCTAGTAGACATATTATACGAGAGGCTTGCTTTGTTTACCAATAAGTGGATCGAATTGGATTCATTAACCAAACAAGTGGTCCTAATTGTATTTTTGAGAATTTTTATTTTATTTTGTGTTTTTCAGGGCCTACACTCACAAAATCATTACATGTTAATCCACAGATTTCTTATAAAATTCTGTGCAGGAATATTGAAAAACAAACAAACAAAAAAGGCAGAAGACTCTGTCTGGCCCTACACTACACCACCAGGGGGGTTAACACATGCCTTATGATGGGAATCAATGTGTTGTTGTTTTTTATGATAATTTTTTATGTTTTTTTAAACCATTTTATTGGATAGTATAGAGGAGAATTGAGACAAAATGTGTGGGGAGCAGAGATAGAGGAATAATCAACAAAGGACTTCGCACCAGTGTTGTGTGGGCGCACTTACCCACTGGCACCAACTCATTGTGTTTTTTTTTATAACAAATTTGTTACAATTCTTAACTTATTAAACTCCAATTATTGACTTCAGGTGGCGGCCCAATACACGCATAATGGCATGACCGACCGGTAGACACATGTACAGGTTGTTGCTACAGTGCTCTGCATAACTGAGTACACCCCATTTGTACTACACCCAAAAATGATTTTTTTTTTATCCATTTCCATGGGTAATAGTGCATTTGAATAAAATAGATTAATTAAACAGAAATATTTATTAAAATAATATTTTAGTCACAGAACATTTTTAAAAATAGAAAGACAATACATTTAAATTCATGCAAAAAAAATACAAACTACATTTCAACGAAAATTTTCATATTTTTTGTTTTTCTTGATTCTTGCTATTTTTGCAAATGTTATATAATATTTTTCCCTAACATAAATTTGGGTGTACTCATTTTTGAACCACTGTTATAAGTTATTTTATTAGATAAGCTCCAGATTTGGCTTCAGTACTGACTAATCTTATGTACAGTTGAAGTCAGAATTATTAGCCCCCTTTTGATTTTCTTTTTCTTTTTTAAATATTTCCCAAATGATGTTTAACAGAGCAAGGAAATTTTCACAGTATGTCTGATAATATTTTTTCTTCTGGAAAAAAGTCTTATTTGTTTTATTTCGGCTAGAATAAAAGCAGTTTTGAATTTTTTAAAAACTATTTTTGGGACAAAATTATTAGCCCCTTTGAGCTATTTTTTTTCCGACAGTCTACAGAACAAACCATCGTTATAGAATAACTTGCCTAATTACCCTAACCTGCCTAGTTCACCTTATTAACCTAGTCAAGCCTTTAAATGTCACTTTAAGCTGTATAGAAGTGTCTTGAAAAATATCAAGTAAAATATTATTTACTGTCATCATGGCAAAGATAAAATTAATCAGTTATTAGAAATAGGTCTTTAAAACTATTATGCTTAGAAATGTGCTGAAACAATCTTCCCTCCATTAAACATAAATTGGGGAAAAAATAAACAGGGGCGCTAATAATTCAGGGGGGCTAATAATTCTGACTTTAACTGTTTATGCACCAATATAATATTGTAAAGCATCCAATAGAAAATATTAATTTAAATGAGGGATGTGTGGGGGGTGTACTCAGATATGCTGAGCACTGTATAAGGACAAGAGCTGTGGCCAGAGGTTAACAAGAATTATTCATGACATTTATTAAATTACCCATTAATTGTACTTTATTAACGTCTGCCTAAGCCCAAACCTCACTGTAATATAAAGCAGTAATTATACAGAGTATACCGAAAAGCAATGATTGGAGTTTATAGCTAAACAATTTGAAACATTTTGTTTGAAAAATGCATTTATTTATTACACATTAGGTGACCAAGATGGATATATGTGCTTTTGAAGGCTTCAAAATAAAAGCCATTTCCGACACCAATATACAGCATTTAAGAGTGTTCATCTGACAGAAGAACATCATATACACTTAGTTAGAATAGCTTGAGGGTGAGTAAATTAAAATGTTTGGGTGAACTATTCCTTTAAATACAGTGTTAAATTATGATTATGTGTGTTTGTTGTTTTGCACTGAAAGGGTGTTCGGATCTACCGAGGTTTCATCAGTCTGTAAATCAGTCTCTTTACTTCTTGCTCTCCCAAACTCTATAACCAGAGGCTTTTCCAGAAGCTTGTAGCCATTTAACAAGTCCAAAGCCGCTTGGGCGATTTCAGCATCTGTGAAACACAAAAGGCAGATGTTATATAACATGATGTATCAACAGCGGTGTACTTGTGTGTTGACTTCTGCATTTAAGTGGTTAAAAATGGTTTGTTATGTGGAATCATACAGAATGCAGGGCTCGAAGTTAACTCCTAACCTGAAATATTTAGGAGCATCAGAAAAAATTTAGGAGCACCAGAAAAAATTTAGGAGCACCCACCAAAAATTAATGATATATTTGACAAGTTGTATATTAAGGGATTAATTGTATTTGAAAACAACATCAACTGGGACTAACAAAACCTAGAAACAACTATCTAACTAATGCTTTGATGACTCAATATTTGTGCAGTAATTCCACAATGAATGTTGAATAATTATAAAATATTATGATGACGATGATGACAATAATACTAATAATGAATTATATTTCTCATCATCATGCTGCCTTGAATGTGCTTTAATGTGAGTTATCTGCTTTATAAAGTCCTACTGTTACTTTATGAAAAATAAATTGATGTTTGCATCAAACAGAAATGAAGCATTGTAGTAAGAAATATTTATTTTGTACTATTGCTTTTATATGCATGTTAATTTAATAAATAATATTTCTGCTACAAAACAAACAAAATAATATAATAAATCATTCAATTCAATGCTGAAAGCTGCAAAGCAGTCATCCGTAATTAAATAGAAACATAATATACACCTCAAGAAAGAACGGACAAAAGAAAGGAAGAAAAGTCTCACTTTTAAAAGTTTTGGTTTCGGTTCGTGTCGTTTTAATGCTCAGCCTCGTTACGCGCTGGATTACATTTTTCTGTGTTTGCGGAAAAGCATGCGAGTCAGCCAGCCCAATACGAGGGGGGCAGAGCAGGATTCTCCCCATGACCACCGGCGCAATACTGTTCTTTGTTATAACCCGCATCAGTTTAAACTCAGTAAAGGCAAGCTTCTTTGGCGATGGTGTTTTAGCGGACATTTGCGCTGTTGCAGCCTGGTCTCACGAGGAAACGTATGAAAAAGTTACGAATTGCCGTGAGATTGTGTTGGCTGAACACATAGTGCATGCAACGCATCGAGATTCAGGGTGCTTTCACACCTGTGAATCGATTCAGTTGATCTGAAACAGAGATTACAAATGTTACATTGTTGCTCTTTGCTCTTGGAGCGGTTCGCTTTCACTCTGCAAAGTTTCTAATTGGACCACAAAAGTGTAGGTGTGAAAGCACCCTCAGTGTACTTTTCACTCTTCAGCCGTTAAAATTCCCCGCGGTCACAAAAGCTCCCTCCCTGTCATCTGACGGCGGAAAGTCTTAAGTGATTGACAGCTAATATGAACCAATATAGCGGCAGGGAAGACTTATTTTACCACCTTTTTTAGGAAAAAAAAAAAAAAACAGGTCGCACTACAACTATTATATGCAGTCGCATGAATGCGCCCAATATATATTTAGAGGTCGCATAGCTTAAATTTCGGGCGCATATGCGACCTAAATGGTTGCAATTTCGAGCACTGCAATGGCAATTATAAAAAAGTTGTACTCTTACCTGCGAGTGTAATGAAAGCTTGACCCTTGAGGCGTCCGGTCAGCAGGCGGTACAGGATGGGCTGCGATTCGTCCTTCTGAAAGCGTGAAAACAGAGAAACCAGCTGCGCAAGTGATGCCCGTGGACTGATGTTCTTCACACACAGGACCTACACACAAACACATGACAGAAAACTGTATTATGAGAATAGGAGGAGAGTTCAATTTAATAATGAATATGCAAGGACACAAGCTTGGAGTGATCAGGTGACGCGATTTAGTAATAGATATTGGTAACTGATATTGGTGGTATGTGTTCATTATTTTGAATGCATTGAAGTAAAGGAGGGGCGAGGCAGTGGCGCAGTGGGTAGCATATTCGCCTCACAGCAAGAAAGTCGCTGGGTCGCTGATTCGAACCTTGGCTCAGTTGGCGTTTCTGTGTGGAGTTTGCATGTTCTCCCTGCTTTCGCGTGGGTTTCCTCCGGGTGCTCCGGTTTCCCCCACTGTCCAAAGACATGTGGTACAGGTGAAGTGGGTAGGCTAAACTGTCCGTAGTGTATGAGTGTGTGTTTGTGGATGTTTCTCAGAGATGGGTTGCGGCTGGAAGGGCATCCGCTGCGTAAAAACTTGCTGGATAAGTTTGGGTTCATTCCGCTGTGGCGACCCCAGATTAATAAAGGGACTAAGCCGACAAGAAAATGAATAAATGAATGGAGAAAAGGAAAGGAAAAGGGGATTGTCTCAAAGGTTTTTACTTTTAGCAAATAGTAAAAAGTAGCAAGCACATAGCTTTAAAGTAAACTTTCAATAATCTGTATAGAGCATGTATAGCTTCTGGGCTCAGGAAGTTCTCAGAAAACACCCTAAAATATATTTGCATGTGTTTTTAGGGTAAATGTAGCTGTAGGTTTTACAGTGCGTTGTTATTTGCAGAACTCCTCTATTAAAAAAAAGAGAAAAAAATAGTTCTGAAAGAGATCAAGCCTCAGTTAGGTAATAAAAAGAAACGCATATAATAAGTAATTAAGTAACGCAACTAGTTACTTTTTTTTGGGAATAACCAAGCGGCAACCTCCCACTCTTCCTCATGAAGCAAATACGGAAGTAACTGAAACGGCAATTCATCAAAATTCTGCTAGTCCTGGCTCCACATAGAGCAAATTTCTATTGACCATACTGTTAAAATGGCCAACTTTACAGCTGAAAAAAGGTGTTTACAGCCTGGTACAAAGAACGATTTCGGTTAATTTAGCAAATATTACCCTTCATGACAACTGTGAGGGGGGTGAATTTTTTATAACTCATTCGTTTCCTTTATATTGGCTTATATTAAGTCTGCATAATTAAGGTTGTTGCCATTTGAACGACAGCTAGGTCTCGCTGGTCACGTCACCTCAGCCGATTCCGGCTGATTAGTCGCTAAACTCGACATATACATCATTCATTCATTTTCTTGTCGACTTAGTCCACAGGTGTCAAACTCAGTTCCAAAAGGGCCGCAGCTCTGCAGAGTTTAGTTCCAACCCTAATTAAACACACCTGATCAAACTAATTGAGTCCTTCAGGCTTGTTTGAAACCTACAGGTAAGTGTGTTGGAGCAGGGTTGGAACTAAACTGTGCAGGGCTTCAGCCCTCCAGGAATTGAGTTTGACACCCCTGGCTTAGTCCCTTTATTAATCCGGGGTTGCCACAGGTCGAAACATCCACACACACATTTACACACACACTCATACACTACAGACAGTTTAGCCTACCCAGTTCACCTTTACCACACATCTTTGGACTGTGGGGGAAACCGAAGCACCCGGAGGAAACCCACGCGAAGGCAGGGAGAACATGCAAACTCCACACAGAAATGCCAACTGAGCCGAGGTTCGAACTAGCGACCCAGCAAACTTCTTGCTGTGAGGCGACAGCACTACCTACTGCGCCACTGCCTACATTATATATATATATATATTTTTTATGTTGCTTTACACAGTCAGTTGCCTTTTGGAATTATTTCTTACTATTATCAGATGATATGGCATGCTGTGTGCACTTAATTGTGCTCAAAAAACCATTCACACGGCCTCCTTTTCCCATGTGAGTGAAATTATATACTTATATACCTTCTCTATAAATGTATTTGTTTTATTTAAGATTGTTTATCATTCATAATTTTTCTTTAGACCTGTAATGCACTCCAGAATCTGATAGACTGATTAGCTGTAGGCTATTGAACAGTCATCTGAAATGTTGTCATACAGTGTTATGCCTGGATTTCATAAATAGCCTTGCATTTACTAACACACACTATATTTGAAGTATTTGGAAGTAATTAGCACTTTTCTCCTGTTGAAAAATGCCATAAGAACAAGTGGCTCACTGTATTACAACAGTGTTTTTAAAAGTCTAAACACTTTATTGATATAGTGTGGTCAGAACACAAACGAGTTGCAGGTAATGAAGTATTAGCCGTTACTCCCATAGGAAAGCCCATCTAAGCAAAATGCCAGCGTGCGTCTGTAGCTCCGCTCTCGCTCCGCCTCTTTGGCCTTGTTTGGTATCCCTGGTTGGTGTGATGACCCGCAAACAAAATGGCGACAGTTGGCCACACCTACTGGTAGCTTCTTTTGGCTTCTTCAGAAACCTATGGGTGACGTCACAGATACTACGTCCATGTCTTTTACAGTGTATGGAAGTAACTCAATATTAACTGTCTGTGAGTGAGTAGATTAAAAGAACATTTTCATTTCAGGGTGAACTATCCCTTTAAGCACCTAATCGTAATTTAAGAATGACTTCCGAATAATCATGCGAGTTACTCTTATTTTAAACTATAACAATTTTACTATTTTTGCAGTCATGAAAAACCTTAAATAACTTCTTTCAAGAACATTTTACAAATCTTATCCAGGCGGTCATTTGAGCAGTGAATTCAGTGAGAAATTCCAGCGTAATGGATGTGACATTTGCAGTAAAAACTCAAAACATGAATTCGCATAGAAAGTATATGTTAACGTTATATTGAAACTTTTGTTCATATTTTCCAAAACAACTAACCACAGAGTTTTGGGAAAAATATCAATCTGTAAATATGTTTTGTACTTTACATGAGTAAAATAAACATGCGTTATGGATATGAGGTTTACAGTATACAACATACTTTGTAGAAGTTCTGTGAATTAAACTGCACAACCCAAAACAAACAACAATAATTAAAAGGATAAGAGTTGACTCTCTAAAAAAACTAAATTAATTGATTTGAATTGAATTTAACATTTATGAGGGAAAAGTGTCGTTATGGATGTGACGTCTCTCCGTTATAGATGTGATGTAAAATTGCCACTTGTCTGACTTTGGTATATCAAATAGAATAGTTTGAAAACTCTGACAGGTGGCTTTTTGAGTATTTCTAAAGTACTGTGAAATGCTTTCTTACCCAAAAAACCCAGAAACGATTTCCGTATTTTAGTGAAAACTTAATTTTTTTCATGGCAAGCTTGACATTTGCACAGAATTGTTCAGTACATTATATATAGAGAGAGAGTTTTGAATTTACCGCCATATCAGCTTCTCTGGCTATTATTTATGTCATGGCAAAAAATAAATAAATACAATTTACAAACATTTTATAAATATCACTTTTCTATAATACAAAAGGTTTACAAAAATAAAAAAGACATCAACGTAAATAAATAATTCATAGAACAAAAATCTAAAGCAGCATTCTGGTAAAAATGTTTTCTTTCATTCCCTTTCCTTCAACTTAGTCCTTTTATTAATCAGAGTTCGCCACAGTGGAATGAACCGCCAACTAGTACAGCATATGTTTCACGTAGCGGATTCCCTTCCAGCCACAACCCAGCACTGGGAAACACCCATATACACTCACATTCACACACATACACTACGGCCAATTTAGCTTATTCAGTTCACCAATCCCGCATGTTTTTGGACTGTGGGGGAAACCCACATGATTACGGGGAGAACATGCAAACTCCACACAGAAATGCCAGCGATCTTCTTTCACTCCTGGTAAAAATTCTCACATTTAAAAATAAGTCTCTCCAGATAAATTGTTTAGTAAAAATAGGGCATTCCAAAAGTATGCTTATATTGTTTGTTTGCTTTTGCAATATTAGTACATGATAATAAAGCCAAAATGCTCAATAAAATGATACCTTATTAATTCACTGTATTGTTACTGAAACATATTAATAACTTATTTACTTATAAAGAGGTGTTACGGTGGCGCAGTGGGTAGCACGATCGCCTTCCTAGCAAGAAGGTCGCTGGTGTGTGGAGTTTGCATGGGTCTCCTCTAGGTGCTCCGGTTTCCCCCACAAGTCCAAAGACATACAGGTATGGATGAATTGGGTGAGCTAAAATTGGTCATAGTGTATGTGTGTAAAGGAGTGTGTACAAATGTTTCCCAGTAATGGGTTGCAGCTGAAAGGGCATCCGCTGTATAAAACATATGCTGGATAAGTTGGCAGTTCTGTGGCGACTTCAGATAAATAAAGGGACTAAGCTAAAAAGAAAATGAATGAATAAATAAATTTACATTATATTTACTAATAACATTACTTTATTATCATCTGCACTTACTTTGGATGGTTTTCCCCTCTGGTAGTTCTTAAATCGAGGAATGTTCCTTATGGCCTCTTCTGTCTCTCGATTGCTCTTGATCTCTTCATCTGAGACTTCCTTTATCCTTCCACTCAACGCAACGGGTCCATTATGTCCTTGCACAAACGCTGAGTTTAGCTTACCAACAGACTGGCTAACTGTGATTTTCACAGGCTGAATGCTTTTCTCCTGAGGCTGTGGTTGGTTAACAATATCTGATTTTGTGCACTTGTGCTGGTATTCAGGTAGACCGGATTCAGAGACCGTTGGACTTTGTGATTGGTCACTTTTAGAGTCTGATGATGTGCACTGGATATTAGTGACAGTTTCTGGCTGAAGCGTTGAAACATCACCAAATGTTTTGTTCTGCTCTTCAAGAAAGTCTTTGTAGAAATGGTCCATTGTTTTGGGCGATGTCGCCCTCTGCTGGCTGACATGTGAATCTCCATCTGGGGGCAGAAAACAGTGAAACAGTACAATAATGTACATAAAAACTCCTTTCACTAATAATGGCATAATTGTAAATATAAGAAAATCAATGTTTTTTTGATGACAGATGCCTTTTGAGAGACTTTCTGCAAAGAGATAACCTGTAAAGCACTGACAGAAAATGAGTAATTTATTTATGTATTTATGTATTAATGCCCTACCAGCAGCATTGGCTATATTCATGACTATACTTGGACTAAGTATACAATATACAGTATAATTTACAATTGTAACTAATACAAAAATTTCGGTCCCACTTTATATTAAGTGGCCTTAACTAATATGTACTTACATAGAAATTAATTGTTTGTTACAATGTACTTATTGTGTAAGTACACGTATTTACTGTGTACTTATGCTTGATTAAATACATGTATGTAGTTACAACTGTAATTAACTTTTGTAATTAAATTGTAAATACACTGTTGACCATCCCTTACACCTTAACCCACCCTCAAACCTACCCATGCCACCAAACCTGTCCATAACCCAACCTCTACCCCAACTCAAAAGCACCACAGGTGTTCTCAAATACATTATAAACCTAGTAAGTACATTGTATTTATTTTTTGATGTAAGTACATAGTAGTTAAGGACACTTAATATAAAGTAGGACCAAAATTTCTAACCTCCAAATAATTACTTGGTTTAGTACAGTTATTTATAACTTAAAATTTAAACTAATATTATTTAAACTTGCATGTAGTTTGAGAATTCACATGTATGTTTCCTGTATTATATAACTTAGAAATCATTAGTGATTGAGGGAGTGAGCTGAAATAACCAACACAGAAACATTTCAGTTTAGGTTAAAGAATGTGCGAGATGATTTTTACCATACAATGGTTTAACCAGTAGGTTATCATATGTTTGTATTATTTTAAATTCATAAACATTTTTTAAACTTTATAATTTCTTCTTCATGAACTTCATTCATTTATTCATTCATTCACTTTCTTTTCGGCTTAGTCCCTTAATAAATCTGGGATTGCCACAGTGGAATGAACCACCAACTTATACAACATTTTTTTTATGCAGCGGATGCCCTTCCAGCTGCAACCCATCGCTGAAAAAAAAATCCATACACACTCATTCACACACATAAACTATGGTCAATTTTAGCATACCTAATTAAGAATGGGGAGAACATGCAAACTCCACACAGAAATGCCAACTGACCCAGCCGAGGCTTGAACCAGCGCCCTTTTTGCTTAGAGGCCACAGCGCTACCCACTGCGCCACCACTTATAAACTTTAGATTTGTTGTTTAAATAAAGTGGACTAATCATACGATAAGTAATAATTTAACATTTACTTATGTAGAACAAACACACACATGCAGTTTTGAGAAGTATTGTCTATGAAATGTTACAGATGCCTGTAAAAGTTTAGATAGCAATATCCTCTCACTTTTTTATAACCTAACATATACCAATTAGGAGGAAAACACCAACCACACCCCATCAGATATGCATTGATTAACTGATATAAATCTATCTTTCTCAAACAGTTGTCAATGCGTTATCTAACGGTAAGTAGATGTTTTCCTTGTTACCTAGCAACATATATCAATTAATAGCAAACAGCCACCAAACCTCATCAGATATGTGATTCACTGGCTTGCTTGGCTTGGGACTTGTGGAGCTGCACAGTGATGGATTTGCTCTTCAGTGTTTGGACTTTCAGCAAAGAAAAGGAAACCTCACTGAACTAAACTGAACTACAACTCTAAAAACTGGACAGACACAATTTTAATTTACTAGAACTTCTGTGTTAAGCTGCTTTGACATAATCTACATTGGAAAAAATGCTATAGAAATAAACATGAATTGAACTGAATCCATACCTGTAATGAATGTATCTTTCTCAAACAGGTGTAAATACGTTGTCTAAGGGTGCTTTCACACCCTTTTTGTTTCGAAACAGGGATTAAAATTGTTACAATGTTGCCTTTTGTATTTGGTGCGGTTCACTTTCATACGGCAAAGTTTCTAAACGGACGCAAACCGCTTGTTAAGTGGTGACGTGTTTGTGACGTATGTATACTGTTTCCGGGTCCAAGCCGCCATTCATTTGAGTGGAGAAATCATTCGTTTATGATTACGTTTTATTCCTATCACACATTAAAGGTAATTTTACATAAAGTCATAGTGTACACAACAATCTCTGGGCTTGCTGCATAACAAATACCAAAATTTTAACAATTTATAAAACAATGAATCACTTTCTGGCCATCGGATATTAGGCATGGACATATTTATTGCGATCGTGACTTTCGAAAGTATTAAATCGCTTTGTAAACGTTTATTATTACCATTTCATGAATCTCCCCATTCAGTTAAATAGAGCGCTTGGACCCGGAACCCGGTGTGCAAGTAAACTCCTCTCACATTGTTTAGAGTTTCACAGTTTATTTTACACAGTCTCGCTCAGCTGTCATGCGTCCTTATTTTAATTTATGGCAATGAGCAATAAGACATTATAAACGAAAAGCTGCGCTTTAATCTTGAAGAGTGACACCCACAGACATCGTCACCACATATAAATCAGAGGAAAGACTTTCTCATTCTTAGGCCTTGGCTAGAATTATGCATCATAGGCTTTACATTATAGAAAGAAATAACAGCTAACTAAGACTGCAGTTCGGTCAGTTTTCCTAACAGATATACAACTTTCGTTAATAGTTCAGCAAGCTTACACTTTCACATTTGACATGAAACGCACATTAACCAGTAGGAATGTCATCACCCCCAACTCATAGTTCTCACTTCATATAGCCGTATATGTGGCTATTACACAACCATAATACGCTGTGATATAACCACACTCGAATCGCTTTGCTTTCTCACATAATCAATCCGCTCCAGAGTTCGTTTTTGGCATGGATCCGAGCGCGATTGCTGGATTCACATATGCCAAACGAACCTTGCTAACCGGGTAAATGAGACAGGTTCCGATACAAAAGTCTTGGTGTGAAAGCACGCTAAAGGCCAACAAATCACCCAATAACACAGATGCACGCATACACACACAGTTAGCTTAAGCAATGGGAAACTTTTTTAAAATATATATAAAAAAGATAACTGAATTAGTTTGATTACAATCTATTTACCGGAACTATAATTTAACTTATCTGCGGAAAATCGAATTACCGGAATGATAATCCGTAATTAATTATAATTAAATAATAAGAATTTAATGACATTGAGAATCTAATCAAGAATCTAATTCCCGGATGAATAAAATATACATATATAAAAAGGGGCGGTGCTTAGGCTGAAAGTCCCTCCCCAACTCTCTTGTAGGGCTACATTAGCTGCTTTCCAAAATTCTCCTATATTTTTCAAAAATGTTTTTTCAGAAAACTGTTCTGTTTGTTTGTTTGTTCGTTATCAATGTAAACTAGGGCAGCACAATATATCGCAAAATGATTGTTATGGTGATAATAGTATATTCATTATATGTATCGCAGATGAGTGAAAAATTACATTTGTTTCAATGCATGGATGTTAATCTTTATCCCAGTAGCCCCAGTAGTTGCTAGTCTGCTATTGGCTGGAGCAGACCAATGCTGAAAACAAATACTTAGGGTGGGAAAATGACAACAGCCAATCAGAGTCAGAATTAGGGTTGGGTATCATTTAGTTTTTTTTAATACCGGTGCTAAATCGATACTTTTAAAACGGTACCGGTGCCAAAACGGTGCCTGAACCGATACCTTTTGGCCACAAATTTAACTGACAAAAAAAAAATTATATATATATATATATATATATATATATATATATATATATATATATATATATATATATATATATATATATTATATATTTTTTATATTTGAATTAGTTTGTTATCATAAATGCAAGATTTGTATTATGCCATTAACATTACATTAGCTTACTACTAACCTGTGGAAAGGCTGTCATCAAAATCAGGGAGCACCTTTTTTCTGGCTTTGGGGCTTGTGACTACTTTTACATGGACATCAGAGATCTATTGATTTGCCTTAATCTGAATAAGACAATAATATGATTCAGGTGTTTACATGAGCTGCTTTTTGAACGTCATGATTCCCAGTTACATTTTACAGCACATAGATCCATCAACGTCATTGTGTCGCTGTCACCAGCTTATAAATGTTTCCTCCGCAGTTTGTGTCTGTGGTCCTTTAAGATATTAAAAAAAATCACTGTTAACGTGGTAGACTCTTGATCAGAGTAGTGTCTTAATCATATTAAAATCTGAGTATTGGTGTCCATGTAAACGTACTCGGATAATGTGTCAGATGATGTCACAAGCTGTCAGAGATGGTCCATTCCTCAATTTTAAGTTGATTCCATGAGCACTCACATTTTATACGTTTGACGTGTTTCTCTCTTACACGCAACTTTTGTAACATCTGTTGCATGTTGGTGTGTCAGAATCCTTGCTTGTAAAATATAGCCATACTGTAGAATGCTAAGTTTAAGCAAATTAGATGAACGCGATCTTGCGTGTTGATGAAGTGAGTCACTCGCCGCATGCGCTGTACTGCGCGCTTTGCCTTCTATAGGCTACGATAACAAACGCCTGACATCGCTGACATCCGTATCCCTCAAAGCTGTTTAGAATTAAACATTTAGAAATGGTGTAACACAACGCTTACTCACGTGTGTCTTTAATGCACCCCTTTATGCTTCTTAAGCGCGTCACACAGCGGATGCGCCGCTCAGAGCCGCAGCACGCAGCGCACATGACAGATGATAGTGTCACACACCAGACGTGCACATTCACATGTTATTTAAAATGAAAATAGTCAGATGGCGCTCTGAGGCATGGCAGAAATAAGAACAGTCAAGAGTCGTGGCTGGATGCCGTGGACAGCCGCTGACTTGCGGATTCTAAAATGCATGGCGCTGCGCGTCGCCAAGCGGCGCTTCCGGTGCGCGACCTGCTTTAAGTTCTTGTTCCAGCACCGAAATTAGGCACCGAAATTCATATGCTGACTTGACCCGGTGCATACCGGTTCCAAAGGTACCGAGTTTTGGTACCCAACCCTAGTCAGAATATCTGCCAATGTTTTCACTCATTCATAGGAAGTAAATGACTAAATGTTTGGACCTTGACACAATTTGTTTTAGTCTGAAACAGAAATAGCTAGAGCTGAAGAATATCTTTTACCTGTTTTTTTTTTTATATTATTCAATAAAGGATATAAAAACTTATAAAATTAACATTTTTATAGGGAAATGTTATATTGAAATAAATATAATTTTCACAATATTCAACAACATCCCTATTTTTTCAGCATCGTGCAGCCATAAAATGAACAGACTTTTTTGTTAATATTTTTGAGCTAAACATTAAAAGGTTAACGAACAGTTTTTTCAGCTCATTTTTGTCAATATTAGTAGAGAACACTGTAAAAGTAAAGCTACTTGGCATTACTATAGTGTGTTTCACCTTGATGGTAAAGGGCAGTGAGGAAGCTGGAGCGGTCGCTGCCTTGAAAAAGAGCTTTCTCGATTTCCATCTCTCTGCGGGACAGCGCTCGACTGCTTGAGAAGCGCTGGGGTCGGGACAGCAGCTCCGCATGAGCTGCCATTTTATCCCGGATGGCCTGCAGACGCTCATTCCTCGCCTCAGGGGCCACACAAACCCCTCTGTCCTGAGAAAAACAAGAAAGCGGGTCCAAGTTATTAAAGTTAAAGAAAACTAGGAGTTTAAGCAATGATGAACTAAATAGCTGAATATTTCTTTCGGGCTTCACAAATAAATGACAATGTTTTTAAAATGTTCCACTTTCAGATGGATCTGCAAACAGCCTGCATACAACCTACAAACACATGCGCTACTGTAATCTGAACATTGTTGATTTGGTTGTAAAGAACTTGTGTGTTGCTTCAGAGATAATGATTGAATAGTTTTGCAAAAACATTCACTTTGAAAATGTTTTCAAAAAGTCTGCATTTTCGAGAGTGGTCTGGATGCAGTGCTTTTTAATGGACTCGCCTAATCCTACTTCTCACAGTGACGTGACTGGCTCAATTAAGTGCATTGTGTCAGACATTGCATCACTGAGAATTCTGCGATTTACAGTGTGACTATGAAAGATATTTCCAAAGGAAATAATTTTATAATAATCATAAAATTTTTTAAGTTTTTTAAGTCCTGTAACATGTCTTAAAAACATAAATAAGACAAAAAATAATAAAAATCACCTAGTAAATGTGTAACAAATTGTCTCTACGCCATAAAGTGCCGTCAAACTCAAACCTTGTCATTAAGCTCAGTCTCCTGTTCTAATGCTCCTGTTCTAGTCCTGCTGCGTTATGATTGCTTCAAATAGCACACTGTGAGAGAAGTATCAGTCAGGAGCATGCATTGATACAATTCCAAAATAATCTCACAGCCCTACTCTTCATTATAAAGTTAAACCTGGATACAGTTGAAGTCAGAATTATTAGCCCTTCCTGTTTAACCGAGTTGTTTTTTTCCTCAATTCCTGTTTAACCGAGATATTTTTTTCAACACATTTTTAAACATAATAGTTTTAATAACTCATTTCTGATAACTGATTTATTTTATCTTTGCCATCTTTTGCCATTTTTTGTTTTTTTATCTTCAAAATGTTAAAAACTGCTTTTATTTTAGCAGTTCTAAAACAAATAACACTTTCTCCAAAAGAAAAAATACTATCAGACATACTGTGAAAATGTCCTTGCTCTGTTAAACATCATTTGGGAAATATTTAAAAATGAAATAAATAAATTAATAAGTAAAACACAAAGGGGTTTTAATAATTCTGATTTTAAATGTATAACATGCACCTATAATTAAACCATCACTACAAAATATTTTCTTTTCTTTTTTTTTTTTTTGAAGTTTGCATTTTCAGGATCCATAATGCTGTGGTGGTGTAAATGAAATTTTTTTTTTTTCTGTTTCAATTTCACAACAGTGTTGTGTTAAGACTCCTAATGCTATTATAACTCTATTTAACTTGAAAAAGCATAAATGTCAGCTAAAAAATAAAATAACAATTTAATGTAACTGCCAACAAAATATTGCTCTTTTTTTGGTTATAAATTATAAATAAATATGACAAAACACAGCAAAAGTACTAAAAATTACAATTAAACTTTCCATTTAAACTTTTTCATTATTTTGTTTTTCAAAAGTTTGTATTTTCAGTCACCCAAAACTAACATAACAGGTTAAAAACATTGTGTGTATTAATAAATGCCCCTCATGTTCCTTAAAACAAAATAGATATTCACTGAAACAAATGAACATTAAAAAAATACATTTTATTTCAAAATTAAATACAATTTTTTTAAAATCATATAGATATTTTTTTTAATATTAACAAAAAATATATATAAATTTTAAATATTTTTATTTAGAAATAATTAAATAAATGAATCATTTTTTATATTTATGAATATAAAATAAAAATATAAAATATATATATATATAAATAAAAATAAATAATAAATGATTAATTTAGAAAATAATTTTAAAAAGCAGCTAAATTAATAAAAATATAGGATTAAAAAGAAAACATAAGATAATAATATTTCTGTAATTAAAAACTGATGATAATGATACCAAAATAATGTTACAATGATACTAAACTAACACTGTCTGAATCATTCTCTGACCAACAGCTACCATTCTTCATGTCAGATTTCTGGAAATGTAAAATCCCTCTGTTTAGGACACTTCATGATAAGGGTAATAGCTAAAGCAGACCTTGAGGGAGCTCTCCGGCTGCTCCCTGCTCCTCCACAGCAGTATTTCAGCATCAGTTAGGCCCAGTTCTCTGAGAGCCGCCAGCTCCTGATCTCCGTCCTGCAGGGCCTGAAACTGAGACAGACTCCTCACACCAGCGGCCTGTTCCCCAAACGGCTTGTACACCGCAGCTGGAGCAAAGCATTTCTTCTTAGCCACACACCTATGACAAATAAACAGGTGAATATTAATGTCCATGACCTATAATGAACAGAAAAAACAGGCAAATGTTGTGCTTTGAATAATATTAAAATGTTTTAGCTTGAATTTCTTTTTACAGAAAGTTAATAGCAAATATGAGGACAAGATTGCAGAGGGAGTATCTCAACAATCTGAGATACTCCCTCTGCCATATTTGATAGCTTGATAGTAGTTTAACAAACTTTACATTTTTTCTGTTGTCTATTTTCAACACCCAGGATTTGAAATGGTAATTTTGAAGCAAAAGCTTGTAAATGTATATTATCCTGGCATGTTAACCTTAAAGGAACACTAAACTATTTTTGAAAATAAGCTCATTTTACCCCTAAGCAAGTCCCCTACAGTTAAACAGTTGAGTTTTACCATTTTTTATCCAATCAGCCGATTGCCATGTCTGTTGGGAGCACTTTTAGCTTAGCTTAGCTTAGCATAAATCATACCAGGTTAGACCATTAGCATCTCAATCAAAAATGCAAAAAAAAAAAAGATGCTAATGGTCTAATCTGACTTAATGATTTATGCTAAGCTAAGCTAAATGTGCTCCAGCCAGACCTGGAAATCCACTGAATTTATTAAAAAATGTTAAAACTCAAAATTAATGTGAAATCTACCTAATTTGCAAGTAAAGTCGAATTAAAAGTGACAGATTTTTATTTATTTTTTTACAAAATTCTCTACTGAAATAGCAAAAGTAAAAAAAAAGTCAACAGATTTTGTCTGGCCCAGTTTATCAGGAACTAACCGGTCAATGTCAACATCTGTGTCCAGTTGTTGCAGCAGCAGATTGTGCAGTTGTCTCTGGCCTTCTGTCTCCTGTTCTTCAGGGATGGGCACATCATCACAGGCATGGCGAGTAACCCTATAAATAATTACAAAATCATTTTTGAGTTCTTTAAACTCCTCAGCCCAAATGCTTGTTTTATGTTCATAATTCTAAATATTTTTTAAGCATAAAGACAGCACATCAGTGAGTCTAGGAGACAAATTAAACTATATTTATTTTAATTACACTTTTAATGGTTTAGCGTTACAATTTTCCTCTTACTCCAATTATTGCACTCCAGTGTTCATGAAGTATATTGTATGAACAGTTGAAAAAAAAAACGGAATGCTAAATAAACTTATTTAATTAAATATAACAAATTCAAGATAAAACAATCTATTCTGTTTGCTGTCACTGATAAAAAGTTATGTTCATTTTACATTGTTATGATAGTTTTCAAAATTGGCAGATAATACTGCAAACAGCCAAAATTAAACTTATTAAAACATAAATATTAAATAAAAACTGCATAGTATGTCATTTAATGAGAATGTCAAAATAAATCTGCATTGTTTTTTTAAATTAGAAATCTAATTACTTATTACGATCACTTCCTATTTTGCTAATTTCATCACATTCCTGTGTCTTAGTCTCTTTAATCATCAGGGGTTGCCACAGCGGAATAAACCGCCAACTTATGCAGTATATTTTACTGCCATTCCAGCTGCAACCCAGTACTGGGAAACACCTATACACCTCATTCTCTCTCTCTCACACACACACACACACTACGGACAATTTAGCTTATTCAATTCAACTATGGCGTATATATTTGGACTCTGAGGGAAACTGAAGCACCCGGAAGAAAACAACGCAAACTTGAGGAGAACATGCAAACTCCACACAGAAATGCGACTGACCAGGTCGGAACTGGAACCAGCGACCTTCTTGCTGTGTGGCGACAGTGCTAAGCACTGAGCCACCGTGTCGCTTTCTAATTGATCTTTTTTTGTGTAAACGAATAAACATACTTCATTATACCAACTACGGATTATTACATTATTCACATATTTTATCCCTATTGTAATTTTTAGGTCAATTTGGGCCAAAGTATGTGTCAAATCATTTAATAAAAATAGTTAAATAAATATGAAAGAATAGTTATACGTTCCTTTCATTACAACAAATTAAAATGTTTAACTGTTACACAAACTTCTCACATTCAGAACACAAGACAAGACAAGCCAGCAAGTAGAGGTTACATCGTCACTCAGGTCAAAAAAAGATATACAATAACGATAAACTAAATAAAACAATGATTTATGATCAACATTAAAACGTGTCGTACGTTTAATTAACTACCACTCAACCTATCGACCAATGTGTGTTATCATCATCAATAAGTCTTAACGGCTGTAATCGACTAGACCTTAGTGATGGGATTTTTCAAATCAGAGTTCATTGAAAGTCAATGTTTTGGTTTGACAAGTTTTGTTACTGGCTTCAGACCGAAACTAAAAACAAAAAATACCGTTTAGTCCTCTTCCTTACCGCTTCATGTTTACACTTTCCCTCTATTTCCCGTTCCGACAGGAAAGAAGCTGTGGCGGAGAGGATTTTGGGAAATGTAGTTTTAACTCAAAGACTCTCATTCGCGGTGCTCTGCAAATGCCTATCTTTGTAAAAAAAAAAAAAAACCTTAACAGTATTTTCATCCTTCTTTTATTCAAATGTATTGAACTAAACTAAACTATTAAAATGTGCTAAACAGTTTAATTAATAAATAAATAAAATAAAAAAACGAGTTTAGGACTAATTGATTTTTATTTGTGTACTTTCAATTTACACAGTTTATCCAACAAAAGGAAACCATTACTAAACCAATTTATTTAAAAGGGATTTGTTTTTGTTTATTACTCAAAAAAGCAAAAACAAGCAAACACAAAAAACAGTGTAAAATCTTGCGTTGATTCAGAAAGCGAGCACTATGATGGCAGCTGTTGTGATATTGACATTGCAGCCACAAAAATATTAACATGATCACTCATTTATAGCCCTTACAGTCCTGGTGAAAATAAACGCGTATATGTCCCAGCTTCATATTTCCCGTTACACAAATACTTCCAGTTAAGTGGAAAGAAAAGACCATGGGAAATGTGTTTCAGAACAACTGAACATCACAGTCTATAGAAGCAGATTCATTCAAGCCTTTATCCTAAATTATAACTGTATACATTCATGACCCTCCACCTGAATGTCGGATAAGTCAACCATCCAATCTTCAGGGTATGATTGCTGAAAGTTGGCTTTGTAAGTAAGCCGTAATGGTGCGACAAATATATTTACTGCGTAGTTTGTATAGTAACCCTTTACATTGCAATATGCTACATTGTAACTTGCGTACTGTTGGTGAATCCTTGCCTTCCTATCAGCTGAAAAGTTTTGCTGCCACTCACCAAACTCTTCTCGACTATTCTCTATAAACTGAAGACATATTTCTATGTGAAATATATATTTTATATACCAGCAGTTTTTGAAATACTCATCCTGCATTAACAACAATGCCCTCAAAGTCTCTTTATTCATCTTTCTTCGTCTTCAGATGCTCAGTTTGAACTTCTGCAGATTGTCTTGACCACGTGCCTTAACGCATTGAGTTGCTGCCCTGTGATTTGGACAGTTTATGTAATAAACAGCTATTTAATTTTGTTTCTATTTTTTCTCAAGGTTTTCCATGTTTCATTTTAATTATTGCTTCATTCAGTAAACACTTTAAACTAGTCAAAATAAAAGTGTTATTTGTTAAAATGTATGATTATGTTCTAACAGTATTTGTACTTTTATTTGGGAATAAATGCCATCAGTTTGCAGAACAAAACAAAAGTTTTTTTTACACAAACACAACGAACGCCACTTGGTCAAAATAACAAAAGGGATATATTCAGACATGTTTATAGACTATTTATGTTAACACATTGATGTTTTTTGCTACTTAAAAGTAAATATATATATATATATATATATATATATATATATATATATATATATATATATATATATATATATATATATATATATATATATTAGGTAGAATAACCCTGCCTCTCAGTAACAAAAAAAAAAACAAAAAAAAGATGAATTGCCATTTTATGGGGGAAAATGCTCCAAAAAAAAAACAAAAAAAAAACGATATTTTTACCCAAACACATACCTACGAAATCCAATTTATTTCCGATACAGGGTTCCACACTATTCATTCAGGTTATCCCAACACAAATAGATTAAGTCAACTAAACATTTAAGTGGATTGAACATAAAACGATCAAGTTGTCCCACATAAAATCTCAAAAATTGTGTTGTTTTAGCTCATTTTAAATACGTAGTTCGAACAAGCAGCAATATATATATATATATATATATATATATATATATATATATATATATATATATATATATATATATATATATATATAAAACTGTACTACAAATGCTGAATAATGCAATATGAACAAACACACTAAGAACAATAAATAAAATACGTCTTTTTTGTCTGCTTTTGCTCAAATTAGGGGTAATTTTATCTCCAAAAACTAGTCATTCTCATATAAGGCATCATCACCTCTGTAACACATGCAAAAAAGGACCAAAAAAAGTCGAGCAACTTCGAACATCCGGTGCAACTTGACGTCATTAGGCGAGGTGACAAAGTGATGATGATGATGTTTCTGAACTTCTATTATTGTGGTGGCGCGCTGACACACACACACACACACACACACACTTGCAGCGGCTGTGATTGACACAGTGAAGGGGTGGGGACGCAGGGTGGGGTCAGCAGCAGGGAGAGGCGGAGGAGAGACTCACAGCTCGAGCCCAACCCTGAAACACGGCAACAAACACACACCGAAAGACGAACGGGGCGACGGAAAGAGGGCTTGTTTCTCGACGCCAGGGATATGATTTCTGTGAACCTCCGAGCCAACGAGCGCACATTTCTTCTCTAATACTGAGGCGGATAATACTGACTGTTATTCAAATCTCACCCCGCCCGAGCCGACCGACCCCCCCTCCACTCCACCCCTTCACCGCCGCTTAGATACCGAGATGCACACGGAGACTCGGAACAAAAAAGTAAGTCTGTTTATCGTTTGCAATCGACACATTTGCAGCATAGCTTTGGCCGGCTGTGGTTGTTCGCTTTCTGTTCTGCAGGACTCCTCCGGAGTTCCTCATCTGTGAGCAGTTACCCGGTTTCGGTTTGCTCTGCCGTTAACCGTAATGAGCCGATAATATCATCTGAGCGATTCCCGTGCATGCGCCTCTGAGCCCGTGCTTAACTTATCCGCGAACCTGACACGTTGACTCGGGCGCATTTAAAACAGCTGTGCAAAGTGTTAAAGTCAGATAGGGAGAGATTGAGCGACTCGTCTGTCAGAGCCGTCGAGGGTCTGCAGTGCCGTTTTAAAGCGGTGAAGGCAGGAAGGAAGCGCGCCGAATGCAGCTCGCCGGAGAGACACCATCTTAGCTGCTTTCTTAAAGGGGCCGCAGCCTTTATTCTTATGGGGTGATGAGGACATTCTGTTATGCTTGTTGGTCCTCTCAGTTCTGTGTTTTGTATTCCGTGGCTTTCGCTGTTATAAAGAGATGTCAGTGTTTTGGCTAATAATGTCAGGCTCCAGCTAATACCACGCAGGTTACAGCAGTAGACTGTAAGTTATACATAAAACTGTCATGAACATCCCATGATGTCAAGTGAGAAAGGGAGGGGGTGCATTAGTGTAAGTGGTTTGTTTGTTTGTTTGTTTGTTTTTGTTGCACATACACATGTATTGGAACGTCAGGGTCATCATATTGACACGTCTCCTCCTGTAGTACCCTTGAATGTATCTGCAGGGTCATACATTACATTAATTAAAAACATTTTAGCACAAATTTGACTATCACTTATCTTGTTCTGAAATGTACTTGCTCTGGCATTTACAAATTGGAAAAAACATCTATGTTGACGTTTATCAAGCATGTTAATCAAATAATCATTTTTAATTTATTGTAAATATGTACAAACTTAATACAAACATCTACATCTCACAACAATTAAGAACAAATAAAACAAAATATTATATTAACAATACTATCAAAGTATAAATAGATGCTAGGGGTAAAAATAAATAAATAGCTAAGATAATAATAAGAAAAACATTTTATTATTTAAATTATATTTACATAATACTTCATAAGTGTTTTTGTGGCTTTTCTGTTTTCAATGTTACACAGTGTAGTACCATATTGTTTAAATGGTAAGCTAATTTCTTGTCATGTTAATCAAATAATCATGTTATTATAGGCTAATCAAATGATTTTAATAGAAATAAACTGACTAACTGTTATTTTTGTTTCGATAAAAGTTTTGATATCACAAACGCTATTGATTATTTCTAAAAATTTAATTTACAATTGACGATCCACAGACCAGTATTGTAACTATTTCATATAAATACAGTGAGTAGTCAGAAAAGGGATAGAATGTAGCATATGGAAAACAATCAATTCATTGCTTTGGAGAATACATGCAAATTAAATCGCAGTCAAAAAATAATTAATTAATTAATTTAATACATTTAAAACTGTATTTTGTCAACAACGTGAAAAAGTTAATTGTTTATTATATCACAATTGCTATTATAATATTGTAATAATAAATGCTAATGTTACAAACAAAACATTAGTCCATGGTGTTAATAAAGAGCTAATTATGCAAAACAACAACTGCTATATAACCACTAAGGCTGCACAAATAATATTTGACCTGCATAAGTTTCACTACTATATTTTTTATGATAACGGAATTTAAGAATTGAAACAAAACAAAGCTCTGATCGGCGGCTGCACCAATAAGCTTAAATGAAATGTGTGCTGTTGGTAATAAGGCTTAGCACTCCGAAATAACTCGGCTAAGTTCAAACGCTGTATTTGTAGATTTTAGATCCCCTAAATTGACAATCTCCTCATGAAGTTTTACATTCCACTAGTTTATTTAATTGTAATTAATTGAGAGTTTTATGTAATTTAGCAGGTGCAGTTTTTGCCCCCAAGGTACTTTGCAGCAGAATGTAGTTATTAAAATAATAAAATAATATGCTAATGTAACTATTGTTTCCTACTGTGATAAATGGCTCGTAGGTTAATAAATGGGTGATTGGTAAATATGTAATATTGTTGTTGACTGTTGCAATAACGATCTTTCTTTTGATATTACTAACTTGCAAAATGTTTTTCTGTCAGCAATTTAAAAACAAGACAATTAATTTTGTAATCATCATTTTAAGATAAACAGGTATTAGAGCTAAAAAAAAGATATTAAGGTGCAAACATTTAGACTTCAAAACACCACAAATGACCTCAGCAGAAATTCTGATTTATAATGTTGTCAAATGCTTTTGAAAACTGATTTTTATCTTAATAATGGTCTAAGCAATGTCTATATCGATTAAATAAAGTTAATTTTATTCTGCAAAAAGGATATTGCATATACTGTTATTGCAAAAGCGACAATGTTTCTATTTAGTTTACAGCCTTATAGCATCAGTGTAAATGTGGATT